AGGCCAACTAGTGCTGGGATTCCCTTTACATTACTCTTAAAGATCGAGGCTATTGGGTTTCCAACTTTTGGGCTTCTACTGCAGAGAGGTCGGAGTTTTGGAAGGCAAGGGTTGTGGCCTCTCGAGGAACTTAGGCTTATTACCCAGGTTCCACAATAATCTAGGGTTCCAAATAATCACCAATACTATTTTGGGGGTTCTTTCTGAGAGCTATAGTACAATGTGGTCCGAAACCCTTTCTAGTTCATCCACGGAATGTTGAGCACCATGTTTCGGGAAAGCATTCAAGAGCTTGCGGCTGGACCGGAATGCCAATGTTCAGGATTGAAATTTGAAGGGCTGGGATGGCTGGGTGTTATTTTTTTAGCCTAGGGCCCAAGGCATAGGGTTTGGATCAAGCATGAGGTGATCGCAGTGGGAACTTTGGGTGTGCACTGTGCTTTTGTCGAAGCGTGCCTTGGTGTTCCTATCTCTTAGTGAAGAGTCGGGGCTGCCTGCGGATCCATCGCCCATCTGCTGGCCTCTCCTAACAGAGCGCAAACGTGGGCTCGGACCAGTTGCTGCCTTAAGAACGAAGGACTTGAGAAACGACACAAGCTTCGTTCGAGTAAGTTTTTTGGGGTCGTGGAATTTCCAAGGTATCACTGGGCAGGATGTGCAGCGAGGCACTTTTGCTCACCGTCATTGTGTCCGGCGCCCAGTCGGCGGAGGATTATGTAGGATCAGTTCATGAAGGCACAGGAGTGTGCAAATGTTGCTGAGAGACTTCTGATGCAGAGCCTCAATGCAAGCCCTGGCACGGCCACATGTTCGCCTTGAGCCGCAGGCAGTCCTTTGCTTTTTGAGGCTTCACGCCTCTTGCACAGAAACAAACACACACACACACACACACACACGGTCTTTTTTCTCTCTCTCTCTCTCTCTCTCTCTCTCTCTCTCTCGCTCTCTCTCTCTCTCTCTCTCTCTCTCTCTCTCTCTCTCTCTCTGTCGCTCGCCTTGTCTATATCGCACACGTTGAGGTCATCAAGGACCAACAGACGGGGGCCGATTATTGTATCTCTGCGGCATTGGCCTTGAGTGGTTTCGGACGTCTGCGCAGCCAGATAAGGCAGCCGCCACAGCAGGGCCTAACCTGCGGTACAGCTGTTTCGACGTGTTCGATACACGAGTACTTGACGACAAGCTTTTGCGAGGAACAAGACGGTGCAAGTTCCGAACGCTTTGATTCTCATGGCGCCGGCTAAAGCAGTTAGATGGTATGGCTGATGACTCCCGAATCTCCCGACTGTCTTTGGTCCGCAATGCTTGAAAGCAGACACTGCTGAAGCCCGAGCCTCCTTCCTTTAAAGCTTGGATTTTTCCGTTCCCTCACGTTCAGCTCAGAGCTGCGCCTAAACCCAACGCCCCCTAAAATCCTAAACCCTGAGTCAGTGTTGTTGAAAGCTCCCTCTACAGATCCAAAGCTTGATGCACCGAGGCTTCCTCAACAACTTGAACTTGGGCCCACAGGAGCCGCTTCTGCGGGCTGCTTGTTAATATTATCGCTACTTATATGGGAGTTTCCGAAAATAGGGGGTACCTTATTTTGGGGTCCTTATAATAAGGGTCCCCCATTTTCGGAAACCCCCATATAGTATTATCATGATGGTTCCTAGTCCTTTTTGAAACTAGTATACTAGTATGACTTGTTATGACTATCATGATTGTTATTACGATTACTATTGTCCTAGCTTTCCCCGGCCGACTTCCCGCACCCGCATGCTAGAGAGCTCCAGGACTTGAGGGAAAGAGCTTTTAATACGTTCCAGGGCGGATATAGGCATTGTGGGACGTAGTGTAACATATAGGCTGGGGATTGTTTTGGTTTAGCAGGTTTTGCAGGCAGAGTTTGGGACTTAGGGCAAAGATTTAAGACTTTGTAGATGGTCAGCTGATGGCCACTTTTGAGGGGTGATGGGGATGGAACTCCTTTGTTTTGACCGTATCGGTACTGGTACCCCTTCCTTTCTGAAACTCCCATGCCCTTGCCGGGGCCAGAAGCAATTAGAACAGGGCGGGTGGCCATTTCAGTATTTCAAGATGCAGAAGTTGGAAACAGAAGAATGCTAAGCGGCTAAGCAAAGGTTGCAGGGAATCTACAGTTTAGTCACCTCGGATCCTGCTGCTCAGCCATTCTTTGGATTCGCGGCTGTCGCTGGCAGATGTACACTCTACGCAATTATTTGATTCGAGGGCTTGGGATTCAGTGCCTGGGGTTTCTCTCAGTCGGACTCGTGGGCTTTGGGAGGAGGCATGGGTTTAGGGACGGAGACGGGCCTTTAGATTCTTTAGATAAGAAGGCGGTGGCTTGAATTCTTGAGCATGGGGGGCCTGTCTTCCAGGTGGAAGGATGATTGCTGAGTTGGGTTCGTTGAAGAGGAACGTGATGCCGTCGGGGCGTGTCAGAGAGCAAAAAGCCCTTGCAGATGGCAGCCAGAAGTCCTTATGCACAGTTCCAGCACTTCTCATCCCTGACTTATACAGTGTCTCCAGCAGACAGGCCGGTACAAGCAGTGAAGATGTTTCAAGGTCCAGGTACTTGTGCTGCGGCTTCTTCAGTGCTTTTGATGTTCGACACCGCTCTAGACCAGAGAGCACCCGGTGAGTGAAGAGAAAGCGCCCCAGGAGACCTTCATCGCTCGGAACTCCATCCTCGCAGAGTACGGCGTGGTGGGGTTCGAGCTTGGCTACAGCTATCCGCCCAGAGTCGACAATGTTCATGTTTGAAGGATCTGTGCACATGGTGGAGAAGCCAGGTTTTCGAAGTCGGAGTAGAGGTTGTGGCAGAGGCCGCGAGTTCTTCGATTCAGGGCACTTTCTCTTGTTTGGAGTCAGACCCACGCTGTTCCGCCCCGCTTTGCTCAGGCTACGAGAACCCGACTGCGCTGGTGATTTGGGAGGCGGCCGTTAGCAACAACCCTGGCAAACAAACTAGCAGTACAAAAATGGTTGCATAGTGCTGCGGGACCTGCAGGGCGTGAGTTGAGGCGTTCAGGATTCCACTACCCGAAGAAAAACCGTTCTTAGTTAACAACGGCTCGGACCCGGTGAACTCTTAGATGCTTGACGCGTTCTTCCCTTTGGACTACTAGTTATTGGAATTAAGTTCAATTCCAACTTGTTCGACATGTGCCAACACACCGGGGACGGGACTGCATCCGGTTTGGATGCACTTCTTGGACCTAGCTGCGGTATTCTCATGGAAACTTGAGCCCCATCCCGGATTCTAGTGCCTTTTGTATTGCATCCTGAACATCGCTACACGACAAATAAACTTGAACAAGGGCCCTTCCTGCGAAGCTGCATCCTGGCTTGGCGCACGCAGGCCCAGTTTGGCGACTTCGCAAACACGGCTCAGGTGCCGGGTAGGGCACGACTCCAGTCAACCAGAGATTCACGATGCTCAATACTGATCATAGCCAGAGGCACTATCGCCCCTAGAACATTATTGGTTTATTGTCCACCACCACCACCACCGCCGCCACCACCAACAACAAGAACAACAACAGAACCATCCGAGACAAGGACAACGACAGCTTCGACAAAATCGTCAGGCAGCATCGCTATCGTGGTCACCACCACAGCCCTCATCATGATCCTCGCCCTGGCCATCATCATTATCATCATCATCATCATCGTCATCACTGTTGTCATTCTCGGGGTCATAGCCGTCTTGGCCGTCAAGACCAAAAACCTTCGCATCACATCGTGGCGCCAGGGGACGAATGGACATCCGTCGTGCGGATTCTGAAAGCATGTCTGTAGCCCGCCTTGAGATACCGAACCACTTAGTCGCGGTCACCCTGTTGGTGTCGGAGTCGTCAGGGCTTGGAACTGTCACACGCCCGGAGGAAGGTTTGCACGGTTGCAGGCATTCAGCGCATGAGGATTATGAAGGGTTTTTATCATGCTTCACGTAGCAAGTTGCACCGTTGAGAGAGTAGGGAGGCACACCAAGGAGCCCCTTCGAATGAGCTTTGCTGTCATGTATCAAAAACGTTGCCGCTGCACCGTCTCAGCAGGTGATGACGGATCAGTTCATCTCTGCTGGAGATTCTTGGCTGGTACCCGGCAGGTAGGATCCATGCATTGTAAGCTCTATGCCGGAGGCCTATGGTCCTTGCACGTTTGGTTTGGAAGCTCGGGCAGAGTCTTCTTCCTAGGCCCTACGTGCATTCCAAAGTCCCATGCATTGTGTCGCTGCACAGTTGTCCTGCCGAGCCCTCTTGTTAATTTGCTGGATCCCGCAAATCAGAGACATCCACAGCAAACACTGAGTAGCAGGATGTTAAGTAGCACGCGCCCACGGGGAAGTGACTTCTAATTGTCGGAAACCCAAAGCCCCACACGTGAGAACTGTTTGACTGTCATCCTCCAGCCTCGTTTCGATCCAGTGGCACCAAGACTTCACGACGATGTCACACATTGCATGTCAGGACTCAGCAGCAGCCGCAACATCATGATCAGTCTCCACCACCCCATCCTACCATATTCGCTATAAGACTTAAAACCCTAAGGAGCACAAGTGGCTTCAGCAGACTGGCCTCGTCATGCTGCTGCCCCACGGCGCGTCGGCTTCAACTTGAGAACCCGAGAGCATTAGCTCATCGTTGCCCGTGTTTTGTTTGGGGTCGGATGAGTGCAGTTACGGGCGCTGCTGTTCCCTGGGTTTGGAGTACCCTACTTGAATACTTGTTTTGGTACCTGTTCCTTAAGGGAACCATTATGAAATAACAGTCTATACTTTTTCTCCCTGGTTACTTCAAAGTCCAGGTTCCGAATCATTTCAGTTCGGCAGCGGGGACAGACGATGAAGACATATACTACGGCAGGCCTAGTATTACTTGCATTGCTTCTGGTCGTACTAGTCATGTTTTCCTGGCCGCAACAAGATCTTAAGAAGGCAAGTTGCAAAAGCTGCCTCAACAGTGCACGAACAAGAGACCAGTAAAGCCGTTAGGATGTACTGGTCCTACCGGGCCATGTTTCTTGGAAGTAGCGCATTCCGACGTCCCATCAAGGTAGGTGCCCGGCAGCATCCAAGGCCCCAAACCCCAGACGCAGCCCAGAAAGCTGACGCGCCTGCAGCCTGAACCCTAAACCCTGATCAGATTCCAGAAACCTAACCAAGCAGACGGAAAAAGGCATTCAAAAACAAGATAAACCCTAAACCCTAACCCTGAAGCCTAAACCCGAACCCGAAACCCTAAACCCTGAACCAGTACCACCTGTAGCCCGACCTGCCGACCAAGAACCTCGTCTGGACTTGTCCGAGTTGCGAGAGAGTAAACTCTGAACCCTAAACCGAGGCTACATGGGCCAGGGCGCAGAGCATAGCTCCTGCCGCATCGAGCGATTCCTGCAGAGCAGTGACGACGACGAGGCCCGATTCTCCTTTATCTTCGCATCGGAGAAGAAGGGGTACTTAGAAATATGTTTTCATCTTTGGTTACTTTATGATCCCTAAGAAACAGCTAAGCTAGTTTTTACTCTTTGGTTCCTTTCATCCCTAAGTAACAGCTAAACTTATTTTTGCTAGGGCTCGAAGCTCAGTAGGGCCAAGGCTCAGTCACAGTTAGGGTTTCGGGTTAGGGGTTTAGGCTCCATTAGGGTTTTAACAGGATCAGAGCCTGGGTTCGAAGAAGGGTAAGCGTTTCATGGCATTTGCGGCGTTGATTAGTAAGGAGGAGGGTTGAGAGACTGAGAGACCCTTCTGACTGTGCTGTGCTACAATGCACAAGGTACCTGCATGCGAAGTACTGCAGGGCTTTGTTTCGACGATTGCACAGAAGTATGTCGTTTACCCTCGTTTACCGGTACCGGCACCGCGAGCATTGGGTCGTAGCCTACCCAAATCTCAAGCCCAAGATCATATCCTGAGCCTGGAACTCTATGATCGAGAGCCGGAGGACGACATCCCGGATTTCAAGGACGGCTTCGGGAGGCGGCAAGCGCAGAAGCCCGGCAGCCTTGTTGCCCAAGCCGCGCTCTTGGGTTCGTGCGTTTTCAGTTTGAGTTGTGTAAGTTTCAAGCCGCAGTATTCTGATAGGCATCCGAACTGTTCCTGTCGCAAGGACACAATTACATATATGCACAGATATGCTTAAGTGCCAATTTGGTTTTTTGGAATCAACATGTCTTGCCTTGGGCCCGATAACTGAGGAAGGCCAACTGGCAGGCCGGCACTGTTTGCACTGGCTGAGGGAAGCTTGAAGTCAGCCAAACCTTAAACCCTTGCAGATCGGAAAAGGGCCGCCAAAAAGGAACAACAACTCAATTCAGGGATTTGTGTTTTTTTGGCTGCGGGTTTGCGAGGAGAGGGCATTTACTCGGCAGTTGCCCAGTTACACTATCGATTACAGTTTGCTCCCACTCCCGACCCATAAGCGGTGGCAATGGTCCTTTGTGTTCGCTACCTCGTTCTTGCTAGGGATGACTTGCTCCATGATGTTTATGTTGTGACAAGGAGCAGGATGGGACAGTGGCACGACTACTGCTCCCTGCTGTCGACGGTATCTGTCCATCATGTTGTGTAGGTGCAGCATGGTGCAGCTGATGCAGGTGGTCGTAGTGTTACACATAGCCACCGTTCGTCTCCAGCGGTGATGAGGATGACGGTGCCTGCGTCTGGCAAGGATCGAGATTAACTAGTGAACTAGCGTCATGATGACGAGGATGCTGGTGGTTGCTACCATATGCAACGATGATGACGGTGCCAAAACCACCGGAGAGTTGTAGGATTTGTTGCGAGGATTGTCGTCAAAAGCAGGATGCATTGGGTGAAAAATGTTTTTTCCTTGCCTGACATGTGGACCCCTCTGACCCACGTGATCTCATCGCCTATGCAGCTGTGCGGGCAAGGAATCCTACAGGACGATAGCTAAGTTCGGCACATGTATGCGGGCCTTTTGCCGATGTCTAGAGCTTGGAGGGGTGTTGGGGATAATTACTGGTTGCATCAAACTGTGTTCGCAACTACCCGTGCGCTTCTCCGGTCAGGTCATGAACCTCTCCACTCCGGCGAACTACTTCCATGCACTGCGTCGGCAACAGCATCGGGATTTCAGGCAGGCATGGGTAGCATGCTGACTGTCAGCAGCCCTGTGATAATGGAGGGTATCGGATACAGTTTGGATGTCACATTTAAACTGTATCCTGTATCCGATACGATCCATTACCTCAGGGCTGCGTTGCTGATCGCTGCAGCATCGCACATCCGAAATTCGATGCCCATTCCGTTTTCCCAAGCCTTTGGCACTGTCCATAGGCCAATCCGTGAGAGTCGCAATCACAAAAAATCTTAGAGCAGCGAGGGCTCTTAGCCCCAGAACCCCAAACCCTAAAACCCTAAGCCCTAAAACCCTAAACCCCTAAACCCTAAACATCTGCTCTTGAAGCATCTCGCCTGGAGCCTGGAGAGTTCGAGCTGGGGAATGAAAACCTGAGCTTCGTGGTGGTTTGGAAGCATCATGCGAGCCAGCCTTTCTACTGTACATATACATACATGTAAATACATATGTATGTTGATTCTTTTTGCAATGTCTTGCGGACTCGTTAGGCGGGCGGTATTCTGTGGTCAAGGTATTTCTTGGGAAAAAGGCTGCCCGACCTGGTAGATTTATGTTTCCTTTGACCTCGAAACCACTGCATCCTTTCCCCAACAGACAAGACACAACTGCAGCGAATGTGTCTATGTCCCTGTCTTTTCGCGGGCTTGCTGAATGGCCTCCTCAGGCATTAACTGGACTGTCTCGACATATGAATGGCGTGCAGGGAGGAAACCGATTACTCAACCTGAAACAACTCTCACGAAAGCCTAGCCCCCCCAACCCCTTGAAGTTACAAAAATTAATAGCGATCTATAGTACATAATATGGCTTCCTTATCATGGTGGTAACTTAAACTAAGCTGAAGAAATGCTGCAGCTGTACAGGAAGCCGATGGTTGTAGCCTCACCGAAGAATCTGTTCCGCCTGCGGCAGTGCAGTGACCTCGGGAGACATTGTGTCGGCTCGGTGCTTCGGGTTTGGGGATGAGGAGGTTTAAAGTTTTCAATTTCAATTGCGGGAGACTTGATGAGATGTTCAAACCAGAGTCTTTCGTCGGATAACATGTAGATGGTGGATGCTGCAACACAACACGCGCACGCACACACGCACACACATATTATATACATGTTTGTGTATATACTATGTTCACGTATATACTCTCCCACACACACACATGTGTGTATGAGGCATGTGTACGTATATATATATATATATATGTATGTATGTTCAGATGTGTATACAGGCATACACACATGTGTATATATATACAGATATCTACACATATGCAACTGCTAATACACACACACACCTATATATATATATATATATATATATATATATATATATATATATCTGCAGACGAAGTTTTTACATGTATGTATGTATGTATGTATGTATGTATGTGTATGTATGCTTGTATGTATGTATCTATGTATGTATGTATGTATGTATGTATGTATGCGTATATATATATATATGTATGTACGTACAAATATAGGCACAGAGACATGTGTTACTACATCTAGAACTGCGGGGCATGCCTCAAGCGTTCTGTGCCATTCTGACTCTTCGCGTGTCGATGCCTGCTGCTTAACTGGATTGCAAGCCTCCGAGCTCTCAGCACTCAGCCAAACTGTGAAATAAGGGCCTTCAGAATTGTCTAATTATAGTATTTTGGGGGTTCCTTAGAGAAACTAGAGTCTATTGGGCACCAAAACCCTATTCTGATTATTAAGGGATGGCCTGAACAAAAAACAAAACCTGGTCGACTTCTACCCAACAGCACCTGCTGGCGCTTCAGCATAACTCTGAATAAATACAACACCCAACAACCAGATGACCACACCTGACCCAAAGCCCGACATACATATACCTTCGGCAGAGTAGCCCCAAGCCGCTCTCCTTTGCCGCGCCGACCGCTTAGGTGTGAGCCCCATTTCCGACATGGAGGCACGGATGCGAAGCTCCCGGAGCCCTTTCCCCTTTATCTTACCTTGGGTTAGTAGGGAATGGAGGAATGGGGTATAATTATAACTTTTCTTACTACCATGCTTCCATTCCCTACAAGCCAAAGGTAAGTTATAAGCACTTTTGGATGCGTCTTCCGAGAAGCCTTCAGGAAGCCACATCCAGGCGCGGTTTAACTAGTATTCAGACTCCGCTAGCCAGCAGCCTTTCTGTGTGGCTGCTATTGAGCATGCTGGAGTTCACTGCCTTTTGTGATATGGGCGTTGCAGAACTCAACGTGGTTTGAGGATTAACCCATCAGCTCCAAACCTAAAGCAGCAACGCGATTCCTTTAGATGCACACCTCTCGCCAGGCAGACACGCGATTTCAGCGCCTTATTGGCGAGCGAGACCCGGAGATTGCGGGCAACCCCGACAAGGCACGGAGTTGTTCATACAGGGGCGTTAATAATTACCTATACTAGTTTGGGGTTCTCTATTACAATTATAGTTCAGTGGGCCCCAACACCCTATTCTAATTATTAAGGCCACTATGTCACACCAGTTCCTGCAGCTCTTGTTTCTCAGTGAATTCTGACAACTTTCGTAAGCTTTTGAACTTCGAGAGGAAGAGGCTTGGGTGGTCTGGGCCGCCTCAGATGGCACGGGGATCTTGCTTCAACAGCTTATCACGAGAGTGAGAGTTCCACTCGCATGCACATTCTCGCTGGATGTTTTAACCTGTGCGCTAGTCCGCAATCCATATTTTGTATGTCCGATATAGCCCCCAACTTTGATCTCCAGAATTTAGACTCTAGATTTTGAAAGCCAGACCATCCCATAATCCGTAAGTTCAAAGCAGGTGGAGCGCCTGATCTTCTGCAGCGGAAAGATCTACTACGAGTTGGTGGCGGAGCGAGAGAGGTCCGCCATTCTCACCTTTACACTGGGTTTAGGGTTAAGGGGTTTAGGGTTTAGGTTTTGGGGGTTCAGGGTGTAGGTACATGATGCTAGGTTGAGGGCTCTACATCGGAGGACCAGGAGGAGAGAGGCATTATCCTAAGTGTCAATTGCCCGAACAGTTTGGTTTCGGATGCAAGCTTTGAGTTCTTGAGACTGGAGTGTTCATAAGATCTGGGATGTTGGCGGGTCATGGTTAAGTAGTTTTGCGCTTCAGGTTCACTTTCTGGGCCTCAGGCCTCAATCGTCTTTAGGGTGGAAGGCTTGCAGGTCAGGGACGTTCATTCTTCTGATTCAATCAGGCTTCATTGATAGGATGCTGAGGACACAGGTCCGGCTGAGTGAGATAGTTGCAAGGCAGTGCTCCACGAAATGCAAAGAAGCCTTGCCGTCCTCCAGGGTAGTCGGCATCGTGGGTAAATATAAATATACCATCTTGAATACTTACCACTATTGTACCTGAGGGCTCCTTGTTACGATGGTTCTGTAATCTACCCAAACCCTAATCTCACTGTTAAGACCGCTAGATTATGTTGGAGGGCTCTGGCAGCTCCCTACCATTACGCCTTCCTCGAGGCCCTCAGTCCTCATACTTGCCTCCGCCGAAGCGGTCTTCCGACTGCAGCAAGGAGAAGAGCCCGACAAAACAAAAGACAAACGAGAAAGAACCTATGAACCCTAAACTTCTGGACCTAAGTCCTGCCCTTCGATTCCATCGAGTTCAGCTGAGCGGGTGGCAAAAAAGCTCACATCCCTTGGAACATTCAGAGGCTCCCTAACCCGATACGGTGCGTAGGCTCGGCCTGAAGAATGTGGCCATCGTCACCATCGAACAGCTTGCGCCCTTCCCCTTCGACCGGGTAAAGCAGGTGCGGGGCTTTGAGAGCTTTATTATGGTCTATGGGGTTTTGAGGTTTATGGGTTTATAGGGTTTTAGGGTTTATGCTTTACAGGGTTTTAGGGTTGGGGGCTGAGGGGTTAGGGTGTTCGGGTTTAGGTTTTGAGGGTTCAGGGTTTAGGGCTGGCTTTCAGGGCCTCAGTCTCTATACAAAGTCCCACATGCAGTACAGAGGTTGTAGGATGTAGGGGCTGAGTTAGGAACTTCTATGGGGTTATTCTCCATTTCTGAATTTCTTGGCTGAGCCAAGACGACCTTGGGACCCAGATTGTGGCCTACTGATGAGAGTGTATGGGGAGTCTTCATGTCGGAGAACGGGTCTGCCCTTCAACGCATATGTAAGCCCCTGGGCCCTAAACTCCTGAAGCCATGCCCCTGATGCGCTTTCTTCGACAATTGGTGGACTGGGGTCTGGGCTGCAGGTCTTGAGCTGAGCCCTGGGTTTCAAGATGACTAAACCTTCGGCTGCCGGAATTGCTCACAGGGCCTCAGAGACGTCCCATGCCGTGTGCTATGAAGAACTTATAAAGCCCAACTCGCTTGAGTCCCGACAACCAAGCCACAACCCAAGCTGCCCTAGAACATGACGGGCGTAATCTTCCTGAGGTCATGGCAACCTACAAGAACGTGGATGCTGGGGATGGCGTTCATCCTGGGCAGTTCGTGTGGTGCCAGGCCACGCGATAGTTTTGTCCAAAGCTCATGTTTTCGGAATCGGAGCAAGAAGCAATTACCAGTAACAGAATCCTCCTCTCGTCCCCAGCAATGCACCCCTACAGCCCCATAACGATGATCAAGGCCCCTGTATTAAGTGTGCGAGCGTGAGCGTCGAAACGCCAAAAAAGCTCTAAACCCCTAAACCATGCCTCGTGCATGACCTTGTTTGCTCCAGGAAGAGCCGAAAAACATGGGCCCTTGGACCTACGTGCGCCCGCGCTTCGTCGCTTGGCCCAGGATGCAGTTTCAGGGTTTGTGGCTTTAGGGTTTTAAAGTTTCGGCACTCACTCTCGGACATGCCAGGCGAGGCTGTTGGTGCGAAGCCGCTCGAAGGTTTTTGAAGGTTTGGGGTTTTGGGGCTTAGGTTTCAGTCTAGTTTCAGGTTGCTTGATCTAGATCTATTGGTTTGGCAGCTGTGTAACGAAGAACTTGCTAGACAATTGCCTTCCTCATACCTGTTTGCATGTCTTCGTCTGATTGCAGCACCTTCGATGTCACTTGGTGCTCAAACCCAAACCATCCAGAATCCTTAAACCCTTCGAGAGACCAGTATCGCTGCAGACCTTGCCAGGCTTTGTCCGAGACTGAGTGTCAAAAAAACCAGACCTCATGAAGCCGTGCCTGCGTCGAGCGAGTGTTCGAGACGAAACCCACCCCATCCCTCTGAGCCCATGCAGTCGGCTACCCAAGGTGACGACAGCCCGCGAGGGCTTCGACACGGACCTGTTTTTGCAGGGTTCAGGGCAGTTTAGGGTTTGGGGTTGGGGTTTAGGGTTAGGGGTGCAGGGAGTTTGGGATTGGTTTTCAGGGGTTAGGGCTTGAGGCTTGCATTGGTGCTACCCGTATAGGACCCCAGGAGTTGCTTCTGTAGATTTCGGTGGTGCGCGGTGGTGCTCGGAGTGGCATTGCTATTGTTGGAATCCTCGAGAGCACGAAAACATAGACCACCTCTGCCCGAAGCTGTCAGGAACGTGTCAGAAGTTCGTAATCCAGTGAAATTCAGTGACAGGATCTCGCAGACCCTGTGGCTCAAGCCGCGGGCTAGCTGAAGAGAGCACGGATTCCAGCCATGACGTTTCCCCTTTTTGGGGAGACCTCGTGTGAGACTGTGACATGCACGATTTGCCACAAGCAGGTGCGTGCGGGACTCCTGCCTAATCACCAGGACTCTTCTGCATGCCCGGGGAGAGAACTTCAAGGTTCAAGCCGTTTCGTCCCAAAGACATTTGCAAGCTGTTGATCCCAACCCTAGGAGCCCTGAGCATCTTTTGTGGCGCCAAGGTTTCCGGGTTTGGCAAATCTTCAAGCTATTCCCGCACTTTGAATATAGGGTTCCTCCCTCACCTTTCCATTGGTTCCTAAACGCAGATCCTAGTCCTAGACCTGAAGACCTAATGTAAGGGCCTTAGTAATTTGAATAGGGTTTCGAGGTTCCTGATTATAGATTAAATTCTATAATATACCCCCAGCCCTATTATAATTAATAAGGCCCCGGGCCTATTTTATCTTCAAGCCTCGAAAAGACTCGAAAACTGAAGACAGGAGCGATGCTACATGCTTTGCGAGCTTCGCGCATGGAGGGAGCGTGAGTTCTGTCGGGAGACTGCAGAAGCCGACAAGGCCGAGTAGCGCATTGCATCATATAGGGGCCTTTATAGTTTTGAACAGGGTTCTACGCTAATGCTAACTAAAGCAGGAGACCGCTGCTAGTTTTCGAGCCTCAAACTGCCTGAAATGTAGTGCAAGTATATATGTTTACTTTACGTGTTCGTAGGGCCGTATATTCTTGCACTTTGGAGTTTGCATTTCAACGCTCCTGAAAATCCCGTCGGTGGCAGTTTAGGCATTCACAATGGTTACAGTGAAGCAGGCTGCTGTTGCTGCAATATTTCTACCCCTTGCCCTTGCTGCTGCTATGATGCAACAGTGCAATGTCTAAAGTTTCTTTGTGTTACCGGTAGTCGTTACTGTTGTATTCGCGAAGCTAAGTGTTCATGATATGCCAGTGTGGCTTTCAATCATACCGGCTAATAGCGGCAGATGATAGCGATCCCAGCGTCAGCAAGGTCGAACAGGACAGAGGTTACGTCACGAAGCGAGTTATTATATTCGCTGAAGAGACACATGCGGACTAATCCTGAACCTATACTCCTCGCCTGAGAGCGGGCCCACATACACACGCACACTCATCAGGTCAAGATGAAGAAGGATGCAGCGACATCCTGTCTCCGTATGTCCTGGAGCCAGGCAGTTCGGTACCGCTTCCTTGTTAAAGGCTATATGGTTCTAATGAAGTGTAAGCAACGGTTCGACGTTCTGCTGGGATCTAGGGCACCACCGCTTTCAGCATGGGCAAAACGAACGTCCGAAACCCTAATTCCAGTATCTGCGAAGTGTTGGGCCTTAAACGATCCTGGGAGCCCATAAGCATGTCAAGCGCTTTGCACAGCCAACCCGAAGGTCCCCTCTCCGCGCTGCACTGGGGAGTCCTTCCTGAAGGAATGCGCGGGCTGCGGGAAGCAAATGTTGTCGCACAGCCTGCGCTACCATCAGAGCAGGTGGGGTTCCTCTCAGGTCCTCAAAATATATCACAAAACATCCTGGAATCCCTACCGTGAAAATTCCCCTTGTTGACTCTAAACATCATCCCCTTTTCGGAGCCTTCAAGGTTCAGTCCTAAATCCGAGAGCACGGGCTCTGTAATGTAGGCGCCTTATAAGAATTAGAATAGGGTTTTGGGGGCTCCTTGTTATAATTACCGTAGACTATACCCAAACCCAATATTCTAATTCTTAAGGCCCCTGCATTATTGGAAGACCTTGGGCCAAGATCTTCATTCCTCTTCTGGCCTTCAGAGGTGCCCAGCAGCCGCAGCAGCCGCAGCCACAAAGGCCACGGCTACAAAGCAAACTGGCGACTCGCAAGAGAGCCGCAAGGTTGCAAGGTCTGGGGTTCTTCAGTTTAGGGATCAGGAGGGTTTGAGGGTTCTGAAAATGGCAAGCGGGCATATCTGTGCAGGAACCACTCATGTGAGCCATCTTCAATTTCAAGAATCCCCCATCCCCTCGAGGCAGCAAAGCCTTACAGGCTTTCTAGGCTTCAGCTCCCAAAGCGTGACATCTCTGGAAGTTCATGCGAACGCACAGCTGCGAAGCTCAGTCGGTACTTTCGCAAAGCCCTCGAACTCCCAGACTCCCGAGTGCCAAGACACACACACACACACACACACGAGAGATTGAATCGTGCGGTGTGCAAATTATACGAATATAAAGATATATTCTGATTCTGATTCTGGGCGGACTGTCGTGCTCACGAGGAGCGCTTCCCAAAAATGCAAACTTCAAAGCGGTGAAACGGTTGTCGTAGCAGACGCTATTGGCCTCGCCAACCAAAAGTCGGTGGTTGTCCCTCGACTGCCCTCCTTGGAAGACCCATTCAGGTACTCCGTAACCCACTGTACAATCTGCTGAGAAGGCCGAAACTGTGTCTGCAGCCTACGTAGGGTGACGGATTCATCGCACAGGGGTGCTGCAAGCACAAGAAGATGCACACACACTCGTGGAGGCTGCATATACAAAACCTGTACAGGAGGAGAGGGCAGTCGAAAAGGGACCTGTACAGCACAAGCAGCTTCCTACTATGTATACAGTCGGCTCACCATAGCTGACATCATCCCAGCCGTAATGGCGCAAGGTCCACCGCCATCCGTCCGAAGCGATAGCACCCCATGTGCTATGCTTCCGACAAGACAACCGGACATCGAGCGCCCAAGACAGCTGCCAATATGCTCCACCTGGTGGCCTTCCCGAGCACGAGCCTGCAAGGGCTACTCCATCCCTGTCAGGTCCGGCTCGCTGTCGATGGGATCTGCCAGCTCGTCGTCGTCGTCGTCGCTGACGATATGCGGCCTGGTCTGCGGTACCTCGCCGCTGGGTGCACTCGGCTCCGGAGCAGCGTTCTCGACACGGGCCGCCATGAGTTGTTGCTCTTGGGCCTCTCGTCGGAGGGCCTCTCGCTTGGCATCGACCTTGTCGGCGAAGGATGTGCGGATCGGCGACGGGGTATGTGCCACTCCTTTCGGGAGTGCTTTGACTGATTGGCGACCGTGGTGACCACCACTGTCTGGCGCACTGCGAGTCTGTCTCGTCCTCGGTGTCGGTGTGGCCGCTGGTCCCGTTGGTCCTGTGAGGCCGCTGTCTGTGGGCGGAGCTGGTGTCCTCACCGGCACATCCGAAGGCAACGGCGCTGCCTCCGGTGGGGCTGTATTCATCTCCGGTCGTGTACCTTCGGTTGTATGGGTCCTGTTGCACGGAGCCGGTCGAGTCGAAGGCGTCCTGGGGGTGGCTGCAGTGGTGCGAACTGGTGTCCTCAGCCTGGTGGCTTCCGCTGCCGCTGCATTGCGACGTGCCATAACCTCCCTCATCTCCTGCTCGAGGCGTTGGATATCTGTGGTGGCGGGGCCGGTCTCCGCATCCGCCATCAGCCTGTCCCATGCTGAGTCGTCGATCTCCATCGTGAGGGAGGGCTGCGGCAAGGCCAATGCAGCTTGCTGCATGAGCTTCTGCGAATCCGATTGCTCCTCCAAGGCAATCGCCAGGTCGGTTGCTAGCCTCTCCTGGTCTCTTTCGAACCGCAGGCGCTCGCGAGTAAAAGCCTTCTTGAGCTCCGCCGCATACCGAGCCCATCTGACCTCCTTGTCGTGCTGTTCTTTCTTCAAACGGTCGACCCTCGAGTCGATCTTCCTTGCCGCATTGACCGCCTTCTGTACCACAGCAGCCAGGGTAGGGCGAGCCGGCTGCCCAGTATATCGGGTTTCGTCCACCACGGCGATGTGCTCCTTGACTGTCTGTGGTCCTGCAGCATCGTAGGCTGGAAACTTGATCTGATCTTTGTCCGGTGGAGGACGTTTGTCTCGGGTCTTGCGCGCCCCAGGCCACAAAGGGTAGGACGGCGATGCAGACCACGGCTGCTCCTCCCCTGGTGGCTCGTAGTAGGTATCCCGAGCGTACCTGCCTGCCTTTCCCATGAGGCGAAGCCGTTGCCGCTGTTGCGGACCAGTAGCGTGATGGTCCGCGAGTAGCAGTCGTTGTCTCTGTGCCAGAGGTCGGCCCTGTCGTAGGGCGGAACGTGCTGCTGACCGTCTTTTTCTAAGACGTCTATGCCAGAGTGGAGACTTGGGGTCCCGCGCTATGGCTGGCACGATGTCGCACTCGTTGGTGCTGGGGCTACAATATTCCCTACAGCTCCGCTGCCGGGCGATTTGAACCCTATAAAGATATATATAATATATATATATATATATATATATATATATATGTATGGGTGAGTGTCTGTCCGTCTGTCTGTCTGTCTGTATGTATGTATGTATGTGTAGGTATGTATGCATACATACATACATGCGTGTGCTAACAACAAGTTTTCACACTTGTGAACGTTACGGACGTCCAAGGATTCAGCCGTTTCTTTATTCCCAGCTCGCTCAGGCAAAGCCCTCTTGACACCTCGCCCACGTTCGGCCTCGCCGAGCTCTTCGCCGAACTCCAGCCGCCGCCACTCCTGGGCAGACGTCACGCTGCTCAGAAGCACGTTCCCAGAGACTGCGACGTCGTCATTTGTTAAATAAACTGTATGGCAATTCTTCGTACGAGTAAGTTTAATGCTACAGGTGAATTCCTTCAGGCCTGAAGATATGTGTGTTGGAAACTATGGGGGGGTGGTCGGGATCAAGGTTCCACGTTTGGTCTCGGTAGTTACATGTTACGGGGACGCATAGTGGAAGAGAGTGGCGCGATCCTCGGTCGTTTCTTGTTGTTATTGTTGAATCATTGTCGAATCACACTCAGGTTCAGCCCCCTGTTCTTTTTGGTTGTTATTCTTGTTTTCACTATTTTACACTGAAGGATTTCTCAAGGTCGCAACTTACGGTGAATTCTGCACAGGCATTCAAGGGCAACCTGCCGTGCGGAGTTTCGGCCCCTGACGGAGGCCCCACCAAGAATCGAAACACATGCTGAATGATTCCACTCCCGCAAGTCGAAGCGTTTCATGAAACAAACTATGCACTGCAAGCAACTTTGCTGGACGATGGGATAAGATAGCAAGGTGACCCACCCAATGATCCATTCAGGCTCAGGCAGACCCTTACCCATCTGAACTGTACTCTCCCGATGCCTGACATCTACCACTCGACACCTAACCCTACGAATCAAAATAGCCCAAAAGCCTTATATAGTATGGTCTTTGGGTCCAAAGGCCGTAATATATGAGTCCTTAGATCCCTAGGGTAAGCCATAGACCCTACAAGCCCAAAGTCTGATACACAAGGTAGAACGTTAGACTTCGAAAGTAGTTCTCAGCACTTCAAACCTCAAGTGAACAGCCATGACAACTCAATCCCCAAATCGGCAAACCCCTAAACCCTAAACCCTAATCCTTAAACCCCTAAACCAGCTCTCACAAAACCTGGTGCAACCCGGCACAAGGCCTCCACGCACTGCCCGCGGCCCTTGCACCGTGCAGTGCCAGCGATGTGGGCGCCAGGTCTCCTCCATGAGGGTTAGCACTCTATATATATATATATATATATATATACATACATACATGTACATATACATATACATATGCATATA